TTCAGACGTGTGCTCTTCCGATCTCCCCAAAACCCCAAAACCCCAAAACCCCTAGAAGCTATATTTGATGCAATTGAAATAAAGAATGTGTAAAATTAGCATTTTATTATGAAGTTACCTAATACAATATTCCAAGAAATTTAGTTCAATTTTACTAGTTTTGCTCTTGGGCGATCATTTGTTAATACTCAATTGCTTTGTTGATAGCTTGTTCAAAGTTTTAATGTTCTTGATTGTCAAGGCATGAAAGATGGAAACTGTACATATTTGGAAGGCGTAGTTAGAGATCCATGAAAGCATCTCTGAAGAAGATGACTTCGTCCATCTCATCAAACTTAGAGTCGTAGAGATTTCTGTCTAGATCCTCATTACAGTCGTAGTCTTCGTCATCATCCTCATCAGACATGATCTCGCAATCATCTTCTTGATCCTCGATAATGGCTTATTCAATGTTTTCATCCTCACATTCTTCATCCTTTTGCTTTTATAGATTCTTTTCTCTGATAACAATACTCTTCTAGCATAAGAAGACGAGGGCCTTCATGATACCTGGGAGTTATTCTTAAACTGATGGTGGGAGTTCAGATTAATCCTTTTAGATGAGACTGGTTAAACCAATGACAAATCTCTTGATCTCAAAGTCTTATTTGATGTCGTTTAATTGTGAGAAAAGCAAATTAATCCAGTTTTGAGTGCAACCTAATTACTCAAGTGACATAAGAGTCATGTGAGTGTTGTGCCATAAGCTTATGCAGATGCCTTAACTGATCATGCTCTTGTAGTCTGGAGTCTCAGCAGTTTAGAGCTCTTTGATTAAATATTCGATAATGTTGTGGAGTGAGGACTCAATACCCTGAACGTTTTCAAGAAGAGACATGATCAAAGTTATAGCGCACATAGCTTCAATTTCATCTTCCTTGATCTTTGCAACTTCAAAGATCTTACCAATAAGATTGAACATCATATCAAGGGCTGAACCTTGGTTGCCGAAGTTTGCATTTCTAAATTGCTCTGGATTCTTTGACATGAAGTTTATGAGTGGCACACATACTGCATGAGTGTATTCATCTAAAACTCCTCTGTTATTGGCAATTAAGTCAATAATGATGCCATAGAAGTTCCACATTCTCATGCTAATTTCATTCTGGTTGTACAATAGTTCACTTAGGCAAGTAATACCCTCTTCTACTGACATTTAGCCTGCCTCAGTGAAGGTAGCTTAGAGTGGTTGTTCTAAGATTTCCTCAAGTTGGGGATACAACTCTTGATAGTTTTTGCCGCTGATGGACTCAAGTACTCTTCTAATAGCAGTCATCAAGCCATCGCAGGTCAAACTAGTCTCTTAATCCTCATCTTCGCCTGAACCCTTGCTTTGGAGCAGTTTCAAGTAAGCTTCTCCCAATTTAGAGCAAAGGGAAATAGCGTATGGAGCGATTTCATCTTGATACACATTGACTAGTTGCTAGAGCGATTCAACTAGCTCATCAAAGTCAATATCGTCCATGATCTTTAGATAGGTTTTTAGTAAGGTCTCTAGGCCAGGTCTCAAGAAATCAATGGCTAAATCGTGGCATAAAAGACTGTTCAAAGCAAGAGCAGATTCAACTCTGACTGGGAGATGCTCATTTGACAAGCTGGTAAACAATTCATTGAGAACGCATCTGAGGTGATCTTGATCTTGGAAATCGAGCTTTGCAAACTGACCATAGAGCCAGCAAGCTCTTGCTCTTAGGAATGGATTGTCAGTCTTGAGTTCACCAAAAACAAATTCTTTTAACAAGCCTTCCATGTTGTGAGATAACTCTGGGCTTGCATTAATGTGATCCTTGATACTGCCAAGGGAGTGCATGATTGCTTCTTTGACTCTGAAGTCATCATTGGCCTGCTGTAGATTAGTTGCTAGGACTTGCAAGTAATTCTACAGATAGTTTGAGATCTTTTGGCCTCTTGTTTGCTTAATGCTACAGATTGACTTCACTAAGGTCTTTACGATTTGCTTGGCATTGAAGGGATTCGACTGATCAACTTGCATTCTCACGTATTCAATAGGGTTCTCAGTCATCAATGAGAACTCGTTCTCATTCAAAAGCATTAATGGAAGTGAAACTTCATATAAGATGGTGTTGATGTGGTCTTGAATCTGTCTTCTGGTGTTTTTGTACTTAATAGATACTTGAACAGTCTTAAGAGCAGAGCATAGCGTCTTGGTGCCCACAAATTTAGTAAGCTTACTTAGTATGATTTTGAGGAGACAGTTCAGAATTTGGGAAGTGTGACTCATCTCAAAGTACTAGCTGAAGATATTTTGTTGCTATTGGCCTTATTGGACGATATAACCCGTGCCAAATCTATTTTCAATTAATATAGCTGTATATCTATTGATAGTTTTTAGTTGAAATCTTACTTCTGGAATAATTTAAGCAAGCTCTAGGATACAATTCCCTTTAGTCTCCAGCATTGTTGCTTGTCTAGAGCCTCGATTTGCTGGCAGCTATCAGTTGGTGTCTCGAATTGGGGACCTAGCTCTGTCTCAAGAATGCTGACAAAGAAATTCATCCAAGGAGAGATTCTTTGAGGTTGATTCATGAAGTAAGGAGTAAGTTAGAGCTATAAAAGAAGTCATTAGATATATTCAATATAAATATTTTAAATTTTACCTCGTTTGCGGAATAGAAAATCTTTGAAATTAAATGCATCAAAGTGATCTGATTTTCTGTTTGAGTAGAAGTAAGATTCTGCATGATATGCTCTAGCATTGGGAAGAAGTACTCAGCTGTCATGTTAAGTGGAGCTCTCTCTTCCTTGACTTGGTATTGGAATGCTACAAGAATCTCTTTAACTGCGGTCAGACCAGAAATCTAAGCTAACTCGTTGCCTGACTTCAAGCGACCCTCTATTTCTGAGATTGCACTTTTCCAATTTTCCGGGTAATCACACTCGGCAATGTTGAAAATTATGTTCTCAAAAGCTGACTGGATTGGCTTGCTTGAGGCTTAATCAAGAGCTTTGAAGATATTTTGTCTCAGGAACTCTTTATCCTGATAGTTTAGAGGCATACTGAAGTTGTGTTCTGGCTTGTTGTTTGAGTTAAAATTTTCCTTGCCTTGTTCCTCTCCCCAACTTTATTGAACTCTAAGTTTGAGATAAAGAGCAGCTTATGCTGAGAGATCGAATTGCTTGCCTTTGTTGAACTATAGAAGTGTAAATTAGTTGATTTCAATTAGGTTGAGATAATTTTTGTAGAGATTAGTTGTGCAAAATACCTACCTCTTGAGGATTAGTAGAGATATAGAGCAAGCTCTGGATGATGCCGTCTGATGTTTGAATCTATTGGAAAAGTTAGCCAATTTGACATTTATAAGATAGGATAAGAAAATACCTGCTTAAGATAGCTTTCGGCTTAAGATCTAACTTGGTTGTCTGATGAAATCATGGAATCGAAGGTCATGCATAGTTGGCTGATTAGTTGTTCGCTCATTTTGAGTTTAAATTCAAATTTTAAATTTTATTCACGAGAACCGCCTTTAATTATTTATACATCTGATTTCAGCCTAGAATCTTACTGTGGGGTTTTGGGGTTTTGGGGTTTTGGGGTTTTGGGGTTTTGGGGTTTTGG